TCTAAGTTTGCTCTCTGCCTTTCCGTGCCTCACGGATATGCAGGCCCTGCTTTGGGGGGCACCCGCCACACTCTAGCCCCCAAATCACTGTGTGAACCTTCACCAGAGCCTAGTGGGTACACCGAGGCCCTTCCAAACCTGTCCACTGCTTCATCTGAAGCGTCCTCCTCATGAACCATGGGATGTAAATAAACTGATTTTTTTTAAACAAATGACTATATTTCTGATTCCAAATAGATTTTTTTTCCTTCTGTGGGTAAAAAAAAAAATATTAACTTATGGGACTGGAGAGATGGGTTAGCAGTTAGGAGTGATTGACGTTCTTCTAGAGGATGAGAATTCTGTTCCCAGTATCCACGTCTTGTGGCTCAGTCACCTCTAACTCCAACTCTGACACCTTCTTCTGGTCTCCAGCGGTAGCCCCCCTCCACCTGGCACATATACAGACAGACACATAAGTAAAATAAACCATTTAAGAAAGTTATTAAGTTAGCCAGGCAGTGGTGAAGCATACCTTTAATCCCAACACTAGGGAGGTAGAGGCAGGCAGATCTCTGTAAGTTGAGTTTGAGGCCAGCCTAGGCTACAGAGCTGGTTAGGCCCAGGATAGCTAGGGCTGTTGCACAAAGAAACCCTGTCTCAAAACAAACAAACAAACAAACAAACAAACAAACAAGCAAACAGTTAAGTTATATAAACATCAGCCAGGTTAAAATGTGTCATCTCTTATTCCTTATTGTTATTACAGCTTCTAATTGTACAGCCTTTCCACAGGCTACTGTTGAGGTAAAAACATAGCATGAAGCCTCTTGATAGATTAGGGAGAGAAGGAGACCATTCAGCGTCTGCCCTGTGAACCAGGCCGTTGGTGGGAGTTATGGGTGAAGAGAACGACTGTAAGGCTGCCTTGACCGTGAGCATCACAGGAAGAGAAGTGGGCAGCTGTGTCAGGCTGAGACGGGAAGGATCAGGAAATGCGGAGGTAATGGAAAGTCATGGACTGAAAGGAAACTGAAAACTAGGCATGGGGGGCGGCGAGGGGGGTGCATGCTGGAGATCTCAGCGTGGGGAAGGTAGAGGCAGAAGAATGAGAAGTTCAAGGTCATCCTCCAGAAGAGGTGGATTCAAGAGTACACTGGGCTATGTGGGACCCTAGCTCAAAAAAGAAAAAAAATGCTAAATAGGGCATTGTGAATTATGCTAAGAAAGTTTTAACCTGTCAAGGCAGAACCCAAGGTAGAAGTACCAAAATAAGTTTCACTGTGGAAAATGGCAAGAGCTCAAAGACAAAGAAGAGGGTCAACGTGAGACAGCCGCGGAGATTTCCGTGACACATAAGGACACGTGATGGCGCACGCAGCCACACAGACGTTAGATGGAGACAAAGTTCTCCGCAAACGGCAAATCCACAGCACGGTAGGTGTTTTATCTCTACTGAGAAGATGTGATCTGTAGGTTTCCAAATGGGGCTTAAGTATGCTGGTTGCCCGGAGGTGGGCACATTCTCACCAATTTGCCTTTCAACTCTGGACACAGTTGAACACCAGATATGTCAGAAGGATTCTCGGGCTGCCCTGCTAGTAGCACATATCAGTGTCTGATACTCTTGATGCCAACATCCATTCCAGTGGCCCCTCAAGAGACGGCTCAGTGGTAAAGAACATTGGCTGTGCTTGCAGAGGACAGGGGTTTGGTTCCCAGCACCCACATGGTGGTTCACAACGGTCACAGGGGATCCAACCCCCTCTTCCGGCCTCCTCAGGCACCGGGCTCACACATGGTGCACATACAGACAAGAAAAAAAAACCTTAAAAGTTTAAATTAGGGGGCTCAAGAGATGGCTCAGTGGTTAAGAGCATTGCCTGCTCTTCCAAAGGTCCTGAGTTCAATTCCCGGCAACCACATGGTGGCTCACAACCATCTGTAATGAGGTGCCTTGTGAAGGGCCGCAACCACATTCTCCATTACTTTAAGGAGGCAGAGGTAGTTGACCTCTGTGACTTCAGGGTGTGGCAGTACACACCTTTAATCCCAACACAAGGGAGGCAGAGGTAGATTAACCTCTGATTTCAAGGGGCAGAGGCAGATTGACCTCTGTGACCTCAAGGTGTGGTAGTACTCGCCTTTAATCCCTATTCCTGGGAGGCAGAGACAGAGCTCTGTGAGTTCAAAGTGTTGTAGCACATGCCTTTAATAACTTTCCACTGCTGCTGTCCCTGCCTACTCCCGAGGCGTCATCTGGGTTGATGGGCAGCAGACCAATCCAAGAGTGACACGTCCGAAGCGAGGACTGTTTCCTATATAAGGGATGGGTTCCCCTCATTCTGGGTCTCCGCTTTGTAAGCTTATGCTCTCTCTCAAGACGCATTAAAGCTTTTCTGCAGAAGGATCCTAAGTGTCCCGTGTCGTTCTTGCTGGCGAGACGGTAGCGCGGGACAGTGCCTTCTTCTGGCCTGCAGAATATTGTATACATAATAAATAAATAAAAAAGTTTAAATTAGCTGGGCAGTGGTGGCGTACACCTTTAATCTCAGCACTCGGGAGGCAGAGATAAGGGGATGTCTGTGAGTTCGAGGCCAGCTTGGTTTACAGAGCAAGTGCCAGGACAGGCTCCAGAGCTACAGAGAAACCCTGTCTCGAAACAACAACAACAAAAAGAAAGAGGAAAAGAAAGAAAGGAAGAAAGAAAGAAAGTTTAAATTAGATTTCAGTTAAAGCATGATACCTCTATGTGATTTTAGTTCTATAAAAATAACAAGCATGTTTAAAGCTATCCACACCATCACCTGATTCATCTACTAAATTGCTGCTTCTTTCATGAAGAAAAGGCACTGCCTCAGTCCCCAAAATGAACAGTAAGGACTCTGGCTGAACTAGGAGCTTCACCTGTACCATGGAAGACTTGGGTCTCAAATTCTAATAGTTTCTACGATTGACTGCTAAAGTTAAGCTAGAGGTTGGTCCAAGCACCAGCCTATAGTTAGTTGCCCTTTCCGTGGCCTTCTTTCTCCTTTGAATACACAGGCGTGCTGCAGCTTGGCTCGGATGGCAGAGCACCTGCCTGCTGTGTGGGAAGCCCGAGGGTGGATCCCAGCACTAGCTAAAAGGGGTGGGCATGGTGGTGCAGCCATGCTGTGGAGGCATTCTGGGGGCAGAGGCTCAAGCATTGCAAATTCAAGGTCTTCCTTGGCTACCTAAAAGGCTGAAGGCCAGCCTGGACTATGTGAAACTGTTTAAACACACACACACACACACACACACACATCCCACGAGGCCTTAACACTACACAAAAATCTATAGGCAACTAAGGGATTCTGAGATCAGGAAAAACAGTTTTCCCCAGGAAAGAACACACCAAAGAGTTACTCAATACCATGTGATCATCCCTAAAAACATATATACAGATAACATAAAGACCGAGCAGACTACACTTAGGAATATATATAATCCTAATATATTATAGTAAAAAAAGAGGCCATGAATTCGTAAGAGCTCGAGGAGGGTGTATGTGAGGTGATGAAAGGGAAGGGAGAAATAAGGGAGAAATATTATAATTCTATTATCAACTCAATATATATACATACACATGGATGTATATATTTACACACACACGCATGTGAAGAAAAGAGCATTGAGATGACTCAGGTAGCAAATGTGCTGACAGCTAATCCTGAGGCACTGAGGTCAATCCTCAGGATTTACACAGTAGAAAACAAAAATTTACTCCTGCTGCCACACAGGTGTAAGAGTGTGTCCAAACACACACACATACACCCTAAATAAACAACAAATAAATGTAATACAAATAATTAAAATATATGCAAACTTAGTCATTAATTGTTGAAGCTCTGAGAACATATCACTTTCCTCTTTTCTTTTTTCTTAATCCATCCGGTTATCAACATACACAATATATTTGTTGGCATTTCAAACACTTTATATTTTTATAAATGTTAAGTGTGTGTGTGTGTGCACTTGCATGAGTGTATATTACATGTGTGCCGGAGTCTACAGGTCAGAAGAAGGCTTTGGATTCTTTGGAGCTGGGAACCAAACTCACATCCTGTGCAAAGGCAGCCAGTGTGCTGAGGTGCTGAGCCCGCTCTTCAGTGGCCTCCACTTTTTTGCGCAGAGTCTCACGTACCTCAGGCTAGCTTCAAACTTGCTGTGTAGTAGAGGATGACCTTGAACTTCAGATCCTCCTTCATCCGCCTCCTGAGTATTATGATTACAGGCTTGTGCCACCACACCCAGACATTATTGTATTCTTTGTAAAACACTGGCTGGATTGGAGCGACTTATGAGCACTTGCTACTCTTGCCAAGGACCAGAGTTCAGTTTCCAGCATTCAGGGGATCAGATGCTTTTGGCTTCCAAAGCACATACACACCCACTTACATATACATACTCGTAATTTTCTTTTCTTTTTAAATATTGTTTATGGTTTATTTAACTTTATTTTATGTCCATTGCTGTAAAGTGTCAGATCCCCTGCAACTGGATCTTCAGACAGTTGTGAGCTGCCATGTGAGTGCTGGGAATTGATCCCGGGTCCTCTGGAAGAGCAGTCAGTGCTCTTAACCACTGAGCCATCTCTCCAGCCCCCCATACTCGTAATTTTCAAAGAATCATTGTTTAAAGACAGACAATGCTTGATTTTTAAAGATTGCAGTTAAGTTTATTTCCATTCAGAGAGACAGGCAGATAGACACACACAGAGAGACAGAGAGAGAGAGACAGAGACACAGAGAATGGACTAGGCCAGAGTTGAACTAATGACAATCCTCCTGCCTCTTCCTCCCAAATGGTTAGGCTTAAAGCCACCACATACAGCTACTCTTAAACTATAAATCAATTAGGAGCTGGACTGTTGTGGCACACGCCTTTAATACCAGCACTTGGGAAACGGAAGCAGGTGGATCTCTGTGAGTTCGAGGCCAGCTAGGGCTGTCTCGAAAAACAAAAAACAAAAAAACAAAAACAAAAACAAAAAAAAAAAGGAAAGGAAAAGAAATAATTGCTGGGAATGGGAGAAATGGCTCAGCACTAGCTGCTCTTTCGGAGGATCTGGGTTCAATTCACAGACTCCACCCAATTCCCAGCCCCAAACTGTCGGTGACTCCAGTCCTAGAGGATCTGACATGCTCTTCTGGCCTCTGCAGAAGTGCACATACATGATGCACAGATACATACATAGGTAAAACACCCACACACTTCAAAAATAAATAAACAGAAACAATTACTTGTATAAGAAGAGTCAAGTTTGTCACACTGCAGTTGCGGTTTTTCCCAGACAAGAGCATTAGGGAACCGTGAAAACCAGTCCAGTTTTATTTCTATTCCAGGGTCAGTGGCCATCCAGACACTTCTGGGCTCTAGCTTCTGTGTCCCTCAGAATTACACTGGTGAGAGCATATAGACTGACGGTATAGAGGAAGAATATAAAGCAGAAGATTATGATGACCACGGAGAACATTGTCATAAGTGCCACAGACATTAACTTCTCCCGGACCCCCAGGAACACACACAAGAATGGCCCGGGACACATGGTTGTGTGGCACCAGATGTCTTCCTTAATCAGGGACCGCTGATAGTGCCATAGGACGATCAGGAAGGTCCCTTGTATGGCCATCTGAAGCAGATAATAGAACAGGAATACAGACATCAGGAGCTTCTCCTTGGACAAGGTGGAAATCGCTTCCTTGCTTTCCGCATCCTTTTCACGAAGGAGCATGCCGCTGGGTGGCTCTTCCTCCAAGGACCGCTGCGGATGTGTTAAGCTTGTATTTAAATTCTGAAAGACGGAAAACTCCATCATAAAAAAGATGGAATAGACAGTCAAGCCAAAAGTGTTCCAAACTCCGACCACAGACACGGAGAAATGTTTATTGTAGCAGTCAGCTAAGCAGGCGTCAGAGATGTTGCCATGGCACTGAAAGTCTTTCTTCCTGCTAAACCAGGGCATTTGCGATATATACATGACGGAAAGGAAGAGGAAAGAGATGACAAGCCATGTTGTCTGCCCCTTGTAGAAATTCGCGGAATTTCTGCCCAACTGCAGGATCATGGGCACTACGCCCCCTGAACTCTTCCTGTCAGACATCTTGGGACCTAGGAAGAGAAAAGAGTAGTAACAGCAAGGAGGAAAATGTACCGTCTCTGGGGGCTTGGTTGTCCCAGGGAGGAAGAGAATGCCTACGAAAGTGAGAGCAGCAGAGGAAGGTGCCCCCTTCACGGCTCCCTCTCTCCGGCTCCGCTTCCATCAGCTGCTTCTCCACTGAGTCCTTTCCCACGCCCCTCCCCCACAGGTCATTTCTTAAACCCTCTGCCCAGCTCTGCATCCTATTTCCTCCGTCACAGATTCTCTGGGCCGTTCACTCCTCTTTAGAGTCTCCGTACCAACCTGTGCCAATCAAGCCGTGCCAACCAACTGTGGGTTCCAACTGTCATAGAACTGCCATGGGTACCTGGCTATCAGCCCTTAAAGGCGAACCTCTCTTTCTTCCTTCTGGCAAGTGCTTGAGGATGGGTAGGCCAGATGGGTTAGGATTATCCCAAGCCAGCAGCAGTTCCCACATGTTTGATGAAGCCGTGGCCAGGTCAACTCTTGGTTCCTTTCTGTTGGAGAACAGCTTGTCTGTTCTGCATCCTGCTGCTTATTTGGAGTTTTTGCTTATTTGCAGCGGCCTTGAACACCAATGCAATTTGGTCACAGGCAAGGCGTGGTACCCTTCCCTCTCAGGTGCTTTTCAAGATTTTTCTGGTTCTGGCCATTCATTTTTTCATTTTGGGGGCTCTAAGAATATTGTTGGGACAACTTATTGTTAAGTTAGCCAATCATTGTCCCCCACTTCTGTCCAATTGGCTGAGCTGTGTTGGGCCTACTTTGAAGTTCAAATTCTTCTGTCTCTTTCTTCCTCCTCCTCCTCTTCTAAGACAGGATCTCACGCTGTAGCTCATGCTAACCGGTGTTGGACTAGAAATCCAAACATCAGGGAGGAGTTGCTCCAGACACCACTCACATAACCACAATTGATGCAAAAGCAAGAGGATTTTTATTCTGTCATGACAGGGCCCTTCAGGTTCAGGATATGAAGGACCTCTGATAGCTGTTACAGTCCATCTTTTAAAGCAAAAAGCCACAGACACAAAGGGGGGAAACCTGTAGGTTGTTTTCCAACTTATTGGATTGGCTTATTCAAAGGGTCACTAGCAGTGATTGGTCTATTCCAGGGCAGGAGAATAGCGTGGTCAGGTGAGATAAGGGGAGCATCTGTGGGCCATCCTGACCTTGTTCCAGTAACTAAATCAAACATCAGGAACTGAGTCAACGTCTGTGGGTTGTCTTTGCTTCAATTCCCAGAATGGAGTTATGTTTGAAGATTGTTCACAAGGACACAGGAGGATGAGCAGTCCAGCATGTATGTGTGTGGGGGCGACTGTCCCGTTTCCAAGAGAGAGTGAGTGTAAGGTTTTAGAAAAATGTCTTAGGGTTGAGGGGGCTTACAAATGCATTTAGAGTCTTTCACTGGGAGCTCATTCTGTAACCCAGTTTGGTCTTGAACTCATGGCAATTCTCCTGCCTTGGCATCTCACAGGGGCGCATCACTGCATCTGGCTTTCCAGTTATGCTCTTTTGCCAGCCCCAGCTCTGCTCCCTTTAAAAAGTACTAGTCCAGCCTGGCGGTGGAGGTGCATGCCTCTAATGCCAGCCCTCAGGGCAGAGGCAGGCCTGATCTACATATCAAATTATAGGCCAGCCAGGGTGAGACCCCGGCTAAAAAAAAAGAAAGAAAGAAAAAATAACATGGAAAAGAAAAGAAAAAAACCCCACCCACATGCTATCATAAATTCAATTGAGTAAAAATGCAACAGTAAAAAAAACTACAATAAAAGAATGTTACAGGGCTGGAGAGATGGCTCAGTGGTTAAGAGCAATGACTGTTCTTCCAGAGGTCCTGAGTTCAATTCCCAGCACCACATGGTGGCTCACAACCATCTGTAATGAGGTCTGGCGCCCTCTTCTGGCATGAGGGCATACATGGAGGCAGAATGTTGTATACATAATAAATAAATAAGTAAATCTTTTTTTTTTTTTTTAAAGAATGTTATAGTATCAGTCAATACCTTCTGTTCTGAGGTAAATGTGGGGTCTACGTCCTGCTTTACTGCCTTCTGCCAACTCAGATGAGGAAGGTGGACTTAGACAAGAATTGCATCAGCGATGAAGGTCAAAGGTCACGCAACTGAAAAACAAGCCTGTCATGGACAGAACAGGTCATGCAAGGTATGGCACCATAATAATGAGTGAGCTAAGGCTCCACTCTCATATTTAGGTAATTATCCAAAATAAAAACCAACAAAGAAATCATAAACTGCACCACAATGTGAACAGATCTAGGAGCTACCTGTAGAACAGTATCTCCAAGATACACAGACTGTACTTTCTTTCCAGAAGCCCACGGAATAGTCCCTAAAACAGACCACATTCGACACAGCAAGTCACGTCTTCTCCATCATCAGAGCTTAGTGCAATAAAAAGAAATCAATAGTGTCAGGCAGTGGTGGCGCGCACCTTTAATCCCAGCACTTGAGAAGCAGAAGCAGGCGGGTCTCTGTGAGTTCGAGGCCAGCCTGGTCTACAGGAGTGAGTTTCAGGACAGGCTCCAAAGCTACGGAGAAACCCTGGCTTGAAAAACAAAACAAAAACAAAAAACTGGCTCGGCAGGTGTACTTGCCACCAGGCCTGATGACCTGACTTCTTCAACCCTCGGGAGTCATGAGAGAACCAACTGTTGCCAGCTGTCCTCTGACCACCACATGCATAGGATGGCATACATATGTGCACACAAACATGCGCGCGCGCACGCACGCACACACACACACACACACACACACCATGTAATAAAACATTTTTTTTGTTCTACAATTTCACATGTGAATGCCTTGATACTGACCATCTCACCTCCTGTCTGTCCTCCCCACAAATCCCGAATAGTCACATTTGTTCACTGAATTTGTAACCGTCCAAGATTAACCACATTGTCTGTGTGACTGTGGGTTTGGAGCTTATCGTTGGAGCCTCATGGGCTCAGCAGAGGGTCATAAACAAAGATGGCAGCTTCCCCTCTCACAGAATCTACTGATAGCCATAGATAAGGAGCACAGAGTCCTTTGGGCCTCTCCTTCCTTGACTATGGATAGGATTGGTCTCAAGTGCCCCCAGAGCCGGTAGTGATGCTTGAAGTCAGTTCACGATAGAGGTAGAGTCTCTGCAACTGGCGTTTCACAGCCCTTCGGCACCATGTCTTCTAGCTCTTACATACGTCCAACCTCCTCTTCTGAAATGTCCCCGAAGCCTGAAAAGGGGTGGTAGAAGTGACTTGGTTAGGGCTGGACATATTTTTCTACATCTTGGGTAGCCATGAGTTTCTGCTTTTTTGTAGGCAGGGCTTCTTCGGTTAAGGCTAAGGGCTTTTGTCTATGGACATCAGCATAAGACATTTAGAAGGCAGGTTGCTGCTCACCCACCATTAATATGCTCCAGCCTGGGCCTACCACCTCCACAGCCTAGAGATGGGCAACTGTGCTTACCGCTCCAGGCCCCAATGAAGCATGCCCTAAATTCATTCAGAGGACTGGTTACAGCCTCAACAGTGAAGCCATCATTGCACAGAGGATCATATCTTGCTTTCCAGACGACATCTTTTGCTTTGTTTTTATACTAATTTTGATTTATTTATTGAATTTTTGACAAGGTTTTACTGTGTAACAGCTTTGGCCATCCTGGAACTCACTCTATAGACCAGGTTGGCCTCAAACTCACAGAGCTCCTCCTGCCTCTGCCTACTGAGTACTGGGATTAAAGGCGAGTGTCACCACTGCCTGGCAATAATTTTTATTTTTATCAAAATAATTTGACAAGATTCTGAGGTGGGATTCCCCCTCTGTATGCTGCGAATGTTTTATTACCATTGGTTAATAAAAAAAAATCTGCTTTGAACCTATGGCAGCACAGAAGAGAGCAAGGTGGGAATTCTAAGCGGAGGTACAGGAAAAAAGGAAAACAGTCAGAGATGCCAGCCGCCATCCAAAACCTTACCAGTAGGCCACAACCTCGTGGTGATTCACAGATTAATAGAAATGGGTTAATTTAAGATGTAAGAGTTACTTAATAAAAAGCCTAAGCTATTGGCCAAGCAGTGATTATTCGGGTCTGAGCAGCTGGGAAAAAAAACGAAGCGCCTCCATCAATAGGATTCCAGAGGGGAGTTAGAGTGACCAATTATTATCCCAAAGTTACTGTCAAAACTTTTGAAGGGACCACAGAACAAGGTTTCAGTTCCGCTGGGGTGAGGGGAGAAGGAGACATATGCCTTGATGAATCCAAGGAGAATCAGAACTCGGGGTCTTTAGTCAAGTTAATAAAAGAACTTAAGAATGGACTCAAATTGAAGATCAAGAGCAATTTTCTTAGGTGTTTAGGCTGGCATGGAGGGAGGGACAGAGGAAGGGCTTAAGTTCTTGACAGCACCCTCCACATCCCACCTCACCCCCCCCCCCAAAAAAAAAAGAAAAAGGGAAAGTTGTGCCCTTCTGACTCTGGTCTCAGAAAGGCTGGCAGTCCCAGGCGAAACTCATGGTGGCCCCTAGGGACTGTGCTGGGGTTAGGAATCCTGTAAAAGAGTACAATGTCTCTTTAAAGGAGAATTATTCTACCTGTTCATTAGTCTGACTCTGGGTGAGCCTGCCTTCCGAGGTCAGTTCCTCAGCCAGGTGATTGACACGCCCAACTGAGAGGTCGAGGTCCCCACCAAGGCCAGAGATTCTATTCTTTTGGCTAGAAAGAGGTTTTCCTGGATGGGCCTCCATTCTTCCTTTAAGATAATATTTATACATGGTGTTGCCACTCTCGGGGGCTGTGGTCCCATCAGCATTTGATCCACCAATATTTGGGGAAGTAGAATACTTATTGTATTAGGCCATTTGGACAACTATAAATATGAATCAGATTTTTTTAAAGAGGCAAACTATATAAACACAGAAAGAGTATTTTGATTCAGTTGACATGTATATTTATCTAACACTATTACTCAGGATATTGGAAAATTAAGACATTTTCGGACTAAGCAAGTCTGTGGGTGGTTGTAGGTCCTCACTGAAGGAACTGTTAAAGAATACATTCTGGAGCACGTTGGTGGTGCATGCTTTTAATCCCAGCACTTGAGAGGCAGAGGTAGGTGGATCTCTGTGTGTCTGAGGACAGCCTGGTCTATAGGGAACTATTTCCAGGACAGCTAGGACTGTTACACAGAGAAACCCTGTCTCAAAAAAAGAAGAAGAAGAAGA